GAGAAAGAGAGGCTCAGTATGTAAAACAACAGATTCAAAACAATATGATTAGTTGTGTATGACCTGTTAGATTTGAAGACTTTACTTCTACAGACCTTGATTTCTTTTCCGTTTCAGTCCTGGGGCTGTGAAAACACCGACATTTTCCCGCGCTGTTGGCGGGGACCCTGACTTATTGGAAAAGGTAGTGTTTTCGTTTTAGTTTTCATTTTCGTTTTCGTTTTAGTGTTAGTGTTAGTTTTAGTTTTAGTTTTGGTTTTAGTTTTAGTTTAGTAAAGGTTTTACGGCACTTGCAACACAATAAGGTCATATAAGTGCTGAAGATTAGAAGTGTGACAAGAGAGTAATAAACACAAACAAGAAGGAAGGGAGATAAAGAGGATTGGTGTTTGACAGGAAATAAGGAGCAAAATTTACAAGAGCTCTCGCAAACCACCCACACATGTATTGTACTCATCCTGGTGGTCTTGTGCTGCGCTTCAAGAAATCTTTATAAACATTCTGGTGGACACAATGTGGCCTCTGAAAGACAGGGATCTAGAATCTAGCTCTATGAATATGATGCAGAGTTTTAAGGAAATAAAGTGTGAGTACGTGTGTGAGTTTAACACAGCTCTCAACACTGTTAGATTAGATTATTTAAGAGGCAGGACCTCTGAATTTAAAGTCCGTCTCTGCAGGACCGAATAAAAGATACAGGTCGGCTCGTTTGAGAGCCTTGAAAATTCCATGAAGAGACTCAGTTCAAGAATGATCAATCTGGGATTCGAATCAGGATCATCCGCTACATAATCCGGCATGATACCAACTGAGCTAATGGAGCACCCTCTGTTGATGAGTCGTGCTATTGTCATTGTTGTTGTTGTTGTTGTTGTTGTTGTTGTTCTTATTGTTGTTGTTGTTATTGTTGCTGTTGTTACTGTTGTTAACTTCGTTAACGTCATTGTCGTCGTCCTCCTCGTCTTCATCATAGTCTTTTTCCTCCTCCACCACCTCCTCCTCCTCCTCCTCCTCCTCCTCCTCCTCCTCGTCCTCCTTCCCCTTTTAATTTTCCTGTTTGTCCTCTTTCTCTGTTGTCTCTATCACTTTCTCCTCTTCCTCTTCGTCCCCCCAGTGGATGTCAACAGAGAAGTCCAAACGGAGAATCAGGCTTACTCTGCTCACCTGTCTAGCCTCAACAACACAAAATTAATTATTTTTTTTGGATTTTTGTTTGTTTGTTGTTTGTTGTATTATTTTCCTCTATTATCTCCCTCCAGTTATATGACGCACAAGCCAAGTTCCACGCCCTGCAGAGAATGGGCGAGACAGACGAAGTGGCGGAGACGGTAGCATTCCTGGCCTCTGATGCCGCGAGTTTCGTCAGTGGCACCACCCTCTACGTGGATGGTGCCAGGCGCGCTATGGCTGGTATGACCGCGTCCTAGGGTTGGGTCCCCGGTGTAAGAATTCTTTCAGTGTAAGATGAGATGAGATGAGATGAGGTGGGATGGGATGAGATGAGGTGGGATGAGATGAGAAGAGATTAAATAAGATGGGATGGGATAAGATGAGATGAGACGAGATGGGAAGAGATGAGGTGAGATGAGATAACATTTTCTTGATCTCCACTCACATACTTACACACACAGACATACACACTTGACGTCTAGACTAGACGGTTTAGTGGTAAAATTAAAGTAAAGCCCCCCCCCCCTCCCCTCCCCCAATACTCATACATTTTGGAACAATTTATTGGCCTAGTGAGCAACTTCAGGGGTCACCGTGGAGGTCACAGACGGGTGGCAGCCTGTGTTGCGGACAAAAGCCCAAAGAGCAAGTCTTAGTACCGTATCTTGGTAGTAGAGAATCTTTGGCAGGACCGCACCGAATTGCATGAATAGCAAAGTATACTTGCGTGTGGTGTGTATAGCCCCCCCAACAAAAAAACAAACAAACAAAATTTTTAAAAAATATATATGGTTCACGTCAAAAAATGTGTTGTTGCACGTTATTAATTGCGTGCGTATAGACACTTCCGTCTGAGTTTTTCAGACACAGAAAAACAACGAACCGTGATCGAGGTGATGCAAGAAGAGGGTGGGGGTTGTGTTGTCTTTTTACCCATTTTAGTTTACCAATTGAAACAATGAAGTTAAGGGTTTTATCTTGGCTTTCCAGCTCTAGATTTATAGCCCTTGGAAGTACGGGCATTGTGATTTAAGTAGGGTTATTCAATTTGATCGGTGTATAGTTTGTTTTGAATCACTATTGGCACAATTTGAACTGATGTAGTTGAATAAAACTTTTAAAAACGGATAAGCTTTGTGTCTATGTTTGTGTATGTGTGTGTGTGTGTGTGTGTGTGTGTGTGTGTGTGTGTGTGTATGTGTGTGTATGTGTGTGTGTGTGTG